GGAAAGAAACAGGAATGACTAATGATCAATGAAAACTGAAAAAAGGAAAAAAAAAAAAGAGAGGAAGAGGCATCTACTTCAATAGCTTGATCATGTTAACAAGTATACTGATGTTGCAAGTTAAATAACATGTGCAGCATATCACATGAGAAGCCTCAAATTGTTGTGGCCCTAGCACCCTTTCCCCTTTTTACATAAAAAAACATATCACTGTATAAAATATGAAATCTCAAAAAGATGGATCCTGGACCGTTGTGTTTGTTGAGTTTCAACTAAGTTTAAACAATTTTTACTCTTAATTGTTCACTTCGGCTACACTCTCAATTTTCGTTATTGTATGTGATTTTCTTTTATTGCCATTTTTTTTTTCTATTCAAACCTTAGTATAAGAAAGGTAATCCAATGACCTAGATTTGCATAAAAACATTTCCACTACAATACGTTTCTTTGGTTATTAAACTTCTATTTGCCAAAAAATTATGTTGACTTGACGATATTTTGGTGCATTGCATCAATAGTTAAACCCAAGGAATTAATTAGGTAGATTTAGCTCAAGGGTTTACAAGACCTCGTTTGTGCGTACTATGTGAAATCCCGTAGGAACCAATTTACATCAATAACTAGTGTGATCCTGTGTGCATAGCATGATTCACATAAAATCCCTGTATTAGTCCATCTACAGATATTTAAAATTGTCAACCTTGCCAAGACCTTGTAAATTCTGAAGGCAGGTTAGAGAAAAATTCTTGCACTTATGTAATTGTCTTGTCGAAAAATTTATTCGTCTGTCTAGTATATCACTACAAGATGAAGTTCAGTTTGGTTATTAGCAGTAACAAAATTCTTAACTTAGAAAATGTAGGATAAAATTAAGCAGAAATCAAAGAAAAAATTAGCAGAGCTATCTAATACACCATTTGATTTCCACCTGGTGATCAGTGTGTTTGGATAACCAAATAACGACAAGAAATTATGTTTGCATCAAAAATACAATTTTCAACAAACCTTTTTATCTTCCCAATCATCTTTTTTTATCTCACATATATCACATCACAAAAAGTGTTACAGTAATTATTCCAAATAATATCTCAAATAATCTTCTATCCAAACACTATTGTTAATTGGCACAAAATGGTTTGGGGGAAGGGATATTTCCCGAAATTTGCTTTCACTGTATGGTTGGCAGTACAAGGGAAGCTTATGACAGAAGATAGGTGAGAAGATGGGGGATGTAAAATGTTGATCGCACTTGCGTACTTGGTGGTGGAGTTGATGAATCAATTGACCACCTATTTTTTTTAATGTACTTTTGCAAAGGCAGTTTGGCAAAATGTACAAAAGATGTGTCTATTGTATAGACTATAGAGGAGATATGTACTAGCAGATGGAGGTGCAATGGTGGAGTGCTCATTTGAAAGCTGAATCATTTGCTACTAAACTTAAGCGGCTGGTTCTTTCTACAACTATTTGGCATCCATGGCAAGAGAGGAATAGCAGAATTTTCAAACAAGCCAACAAGACTAATGTTCAGCTTGTTGCAACAATTATGAAGATTGTCCAATTAAATTGCGTTTCTTGGGAAAGTGCTCCAAGAACAAGGAAAAATTTGGAATTGGTGCTCGAATGGGGACTAGATCACAGGTGTTTGATGAGCTAGATAGGACAATAATGCATACCAATAGCCATATACAAAAGTCCTAAGTGTACTGTATAACTATAGGATTGATTACAAGAGTAGACATGAGCAGATAGGAGTTCTGATTAATAGATTGTGGACATGTATAGTCCTAAAGGATTCAACAAAAGGTCCTTTTGCTTTGAAAAAAAAACACCATTTGACAAAATAGAACAAAGAGAATACCACTTCAACTGTTCAAAATCAGCTGGGAACTAAATGTTAGGCATGGCCCTCCTGTTTCTCCTAGCTTATCTATAATTTCTCATGCATGTTTCCCTTCAAGTCTACACGACTGTACCAGATGAGTGATGACTTCCTCTTCTACTTTGCTTCTTCTAGCAGTTCTTTGTCTTCCACTGGATGATCTCTTCCACCTTGATTCTTCTTATGCTTCATATATTGCTTCGTTTCTCTTTTTGCATCATTTCACCCTAATTACTATAATAAAGAGCATTGCTAAGAACTCTGCTTCTTATCCTTTCATCTTAACAGCTCACTACCTTCAGATCCAAGCGTCTTGCTACTTCTTTTGCTCGTTAGTTTCATACCGATCTCAGGCGCAACTTTTAAGTTTCCAATTGCCCTTTCTTCCTAGCAGCTGATGTCTGTGTGTCTGAAACCCTGAGATGAACAAACATTCAGGGCAATAGCATTTGCCAAAATCACGAAAACACAATCGTAGCACATTAAGAACACCAAATGACAAGCAATTAAAAGTCAATAACATATCAGCAAAAAGAATAAAACAAGGTGAATAAGACCCATGATGCTTCTCATTGCTGCAGAAACACAAAGAAGTTTTCTGTTGACATATAAGAGAGACACCAAGTTCAAACCAAATAACAATAAAGGCAAGAAATCGTGCTTTCAACCTGATCATTATCCCGTTCACAACTTCAAATAGGGCACAAAATATCATTGTTTTTCTATTGTTTTTTGATTGTTTTCTATTGAAATATTGGAGAAATTGAAAGCTTATTCAACATATACTTCTTTGCTTTCTGATTACAAACTGAAACAGATTACTATGCTTTCTGTTTATCATACAAACACAAAAACAGATTTCCACATATAGGCCAGCTTAAGAAAAAAAAACACCACTCAAAATTAAGCAGGAAAAGTAAAAGACCAGCCAGAAATGATAAAGTCAGAAATTCCTACTGCATGAACTTTTTAGTAGTCTTAGTGACTAGTTTTTGTGTAAAAGAATTAGACTTATTTGTGTGAGGAAGTACTTTCTATTGACCTGACAATGTCTTAATAATAAACTTATGACCACTAAAAGGGCAAAAAGAGTAGTAAGAAAACTTAAAATTAAGCAGCATGATTTTCATCGAGCATCAAAATCTTAACCAAAAGAGAAAAGGGATCACAATCCAAAAGTTAACAACACTTAGAGAATACTAAAAGATGATAAAACTGAATAGCTAACGATGAACTTGACCCCTCCATCTCGCTAAAAACTAAAAAAATGTACGAAAGAGGAAAAAAATGAATTAAACAGGCTTAGTGGTGGAGTAAGTGCAATCCGCCTAACAATATCAACTTTAAACAGACTCTTCAATCATTCCACATTTATCAGGTAATGCAGTAGAAAATCAACAAAAAATAATACCCTGAAAACTATGAAAAGGATTACATCGTACAGGAAAAGCCAAGATCTAAGTTTCAAGTTCAAGAGAATCACCAGGAAATAGTTCAAGTTGCAGACTATTTGAAAGAAGTCACCTTTCTTTCTGGTAATGGAATGATTAGGCTTAGTATTTAAAAGTAAAATTAACTTAAAAAGTAAGCATAATTATGAATTTATTCAGAATTATCAGCAAAGTTCAACTCTTGATGGCTTCACATTCCTGTGAAACACTATATCTTGAATGTTGGACAACAGTTTTTGATCAGATATATTAGATTTATTTAAGTACTTTTCTCGATTCTTTAGTCCTTCAGCCATATATAGAGTGAACAAGCTTTATGCTTTTCAACAAGTTAAGCTATCAGATATCATTCAGCGGGACAGGTTTACCAAATTACAGGCAGAGCGAAATAAACTAATCCATTTTTTTTTTTTTTGGAGTGTATTATTGATCAAGACAATCCGAACTTCACAATGAGGTAATATTCTTTCCTCCCTCCTCCCCAGCAAGACACATGAAACAACAAAGAGAAAAAAAAAAGAAATATCACACACATGCACGAGCACACCAACACTCTTTAATTTTCACCTTGGACCAGAAGGGCAAAAACCAACCATATGAGTATATGAAGCATGTTGATATAGTTAGAAAAAGCATGTAAACTAGAGTAAAAAAGAAAACGAAAAACTGTTTGTTAAAATGCTTGACGCTTGAGTCAAGGTTAGTGCATAAGTTCTCTAGTTAAGCCAGAGGGGACTTTCATAAGTAAGGATAAACTTTTACTCCAATAAATTCCAAAAAAAAAGCTTGAATATTAAGAATCTTGACCAAGGATCATAACATGAAAATGGAAATCCTACAAACTTTAAACTCACTTAATAAGCTAAATATCAAATTATGCAAAAATCATATTAAATTTTGCTATTGTTAAAAATCATATTAAGTAAATTTAATAAACTTTGCTATTGCTACAAATATTCCTCCTCAAATTATGAACATAAAGATAGGACAGAAATATGGCAAGACATCTTTCGTACACATATTGTGAAAAATTGAGAATACCAACAAAAATTTTTGTTGTCAAAAGAAACGATTTTATTTTAAATTCTACAATATATTTTAAGGGCCTGTGATTTTTTTAAAGCGGTTGGATTCCTTTTTTTTTTTTCAGGACATTCTGTCTTTTTCTGTCAAAAAGAGAAAATCTGATCTTCTATTCAAGTATTGTTTGATTGTTTCTATGAATTATTACTTTGAGATCATTAAAATGTTTTTTTATTTTTAGTTAAACCATTAGTATTAAACATTGGCTAAAGAAAAAAGTGCAACACAGTTTGTGTTTGGATTGCCAATTATTCCACTTTATTTACACCTTATTTACGCACACTGATTTGCTTACATCATCAACACATTTTCCAATCACCTTTTTATCTCACATACATCATATCAAAAAAGTGCTACAGTGTTTTTTTCACAAAATTATCTCAAATAATTTACAATCCTAACACAGTCGTTGGTACCAGATTCATACTTGGACAAATCTAGTTTTAAAAAATTCAAGGACTCAAATTGTACTACGCTATTTCGGTAGATCGTGTCGTACAATTTGGACTATTGATTTTTGAAGACAGGGTCTACCAAGTCTAGGATTTAGCGCGAAGGTGCAAATGATACCAAACCTTCGGGTTAGCGCTTTAACGCGTTAACTTTGGTCATCTCTTAATTAATCAAACTTCTCTCCCGCCAAAGTTCCAATGCATTTGCTCACTTGATCAATGGTCATCACCACCCGTCTGAAGAAACTTCCTTCCAAACTACTCTTCTCAAGAAATCATCCCTTTGCGTCATTTTCTCAAACACTTTCCGCTCGCTCCAATTTGCCCCACTACAAAGACAACCCAGACAAGGCCAAGGACAACTGGAACACCAACCATTCTTTTGTCCTCTCAAACCCGATTCTTTCACTCCTTGAAAATAAATGCAAGTCCATTTCTCAACTCAAGCAAATCCAATCCCAAATGATCATCACTGGCCTCATCTCAGATGGGCTGGCGTCGAGTCGTTTGATTGCATTCTGTGCTCTCTCAGAAATGGCTGATCTTTCTTACTGCAAAACGTTGTTATGCAGTTTGCAAAACCCAAATGCATTTTCTTATAATGTTTCTATTAGAGCTTTTTCTGACGGTGAGAACCCAATTGAAGCTTTTATTTTATACAAGCAAATGTTGTGTGCTTGGAGTAATAGTGGTTTAAGGCCTGATAAATATACTTTTCCTTTGTTGTTTAAGACATGTACTAGATTATCATTCTTTTATTTGGGTTTTGAGATTCTTGTTCATGTTATTAAATTGGGTTATGAGAGAAACATTTATGTGCATAATGCTTTAATTCATTTCTTGGCGTCTTTTGGGGAGTTGGACATTGCACGTATGGTGTTCAATGAAAATTGCGTGAGAGACTTGGTTTCTTGGAATTCCTTGATTAATGGGTATGTCAAGAGCGGGAAAGCACACAAAGCTTTGAGGATTTTTAGGGAAATGGAGACGGAGGGAGTCAAGCCAGACGAGGTTACTATGATTGGATTGGTTTTGTCATGCGGGCAGTTGGAGGACTTAGTGCTTGGGAGAGAATTTCATCAGCGCATTGAGGAGTATGGGCTGAATTTGACCGTGCCTCTAGGTAATGCTCTTATGGACATGTATGTGAAGTGTGGGGAACTTGATGAAGCAAAGGCTTTGTTTGATAGGATGGAGAAGAAGACCGTGGTTAGTTGGACGACCATGGTTGTGGGATATGCAAAGATGGGGCTTTTGGACACTGCTAGAAAGCTTTTTGATGAGATGCCTGAGAAGGATGTTGTTCCTTGGAATGCTTTGATTAGTGGTTACGTCCAAATCAAACATTGTAAGGAGGCATTGGCTTTGTTTAGTGAAATGCAAGCCATGAATGTTATGCCTGATCAGGTGACCATGGTTAGTTGTTTATCTGCTTGCACGCAGATCGGGGCACTTGATGTTGGAATTTGGCTTCATCGGTATATTGAAAGGAATAACATCTCTATAAATGTTGCTTTGGGGACTGCTTTGATAGATATGTATGCAAAATGTGGCAACATCAGTAAGGCACTTCAGATTTTTAAAGAGATGCCGGCAAGAAACTCATTAACTTGGACAGCTATAATATGTGGTTTGGCTTATCATGGGGATTCCAGTGATGCTTTATCCCACTTCTTTGAGATGATTCAAATTGGACTGGTCCCAGATGAAGTTACATTTCTGGGTGTCTTGTCAGCTTGTTGTCATGGAGGTTTGGTTGAAGAAGGTCGCAAGATTTTTGCACAGATGAGCTCCAAGTTCAACATTCCTCCCAAACTTAAACACTACTCTTGCATGGTTGACCTTTTGGGTAGGGCTGGTCTACTGGAAGAGGCTGAAGAGCTTATTAAGAGCATGCCAATGGAAGCTGATGCTGTGGTGTGGGGAGCATTATTTTTTGCATGTCGAATTAATAAAAATGTCGAAATGGGGGAGAAAGCTGCTATGAAGCTTCTAGAACTGGATCCTCATGATAGTGGAATCTATGTCCTGCTTGCAAGCATGTACATCGAAGCAAATATGTGGCATAAGTCCAGGGAGGTTAGGAAGATGATGAGAGAAAGAGGTGTTGACAAGACACCTGGCTGCAGTTCAATAGAGGTCAAAGGTGATGTTTGGGAGTTCATGGTCAAAGATAAGTCACATCCTCAGTGTGATGAGATCTACCAATGTCTTATGGAATTAAAGAGACAGATGGAGCTTGTCGAATATTCAGTTGATGTGCCTCTCCCGGAATATGACCTCCTTATTAGCTCTAATAGCTGCTGCTGAGTCAACTGAGAAGGTTAGTTTAGAATGCACATCCGTTTTGCAGAGCTAAGAATAAGATTGAGAAGTTTGTAAAGAAGTCACTATTCAAATGTCAACTGTCAATTTTTAAATTTCTGCCTCGCAATAGTCCTGAACATGTTGTCTTGCTTGCTATGCAGTTTTAATGTTTTGTCAGTGTGATCTTTTCATCACTTCATCTTGTTTAGTTTCCCAAAGTTTGACCAGGTGTTTTAATTATCTAAAAGTTGACTGGCTGAAGAACTTAAATTTCTCTTACTTATGCTGGCAAATTTTATGTTGCAAAAGGTTGCAGAGAAGGCAAAGTTGATTAGGAAAAAATTCGGAAACATTTGTGATCCGAATGGAGTTAATTCTTGAACCGGTTGCATCCTCAACTTGGTCAGATCTACAATTGTTCTACTCAGTCAACAAGATGTCTGGAGGTTGCTTAGCTTATGTCTAATATTAGACATTCTCTGGAGATAATCCCATATTTGGCTCTGTCTGTGGCTGCAAAATTTCAATGACCAGGTCTGTTGGAAAACAGAAACTCATATCCCATACTTGTTCCCAAATTTTAATCAGCAATAACTTGGCATGCTGTTCTAAGTATAATCAGTCACAGACAGAGGTAATCAGACACCAGATCGATTCAATTGTCTGAAATAGAAAGGTATCTGGTAACATGTTCATTATTATTGTGATTCATTGTTACTAATTTGTCTATTTCTGCTAAACTGGCTCTAATACTGAAGAACGAGTTAGCCATCTTTTACACATTCAATTTCCTGATGTATGTAACTTGAATTGATGTTTCAACAAATTCCAGTTACAAAATTATGTGCTTTTAACCATTATCATTAAGAGATTGGATCTGTTAACTTTTGTACTGAGCTTGCAGAATCAACAAATATTTGGATACTAGTGACTTGTTGATCTATTTGATGATTTCAAATATGTTTTTGCTAATTCATATAGCTTGCTTTGGGCTCTAATGATAGTCATTAGTTATCAGTCATATTGTGAAATATGGAGAAGACCTGACAATCTCTCCAATTTAACAAATTTAAATTTGCTTTTTGAATAGAATCTTAGTAGTGGTCTGTAACATTTGCAATCACTAGAGATTGGCTACAGAAACAGCAAAAAGTTGTCTTGTGGTGAGTTCATTTAGACTTTTCTTACCCCTGCATTGAAGGTTCAATTTTAGATCAGCTGTCTGCTGTAGTGAACATGTTAGTGAACTGTTTCTGAAGATATGCTCTGGCAGTAGGAAAGGGCCATGTTTCATTGTAGCCATTAGCTTGTTAGGGAGTGAAATATGAGGAGTCCTTTGTACTGAACGATGCTCAATGCAAAAATAAGTTTGCACTGCTTTGGCTTTCCAGTGCTGATTCCTGACTCATCCAGAATTCGGGATTTAAGGACATCTTTTCCATCCTAGAACAGGCAAGGGTGGAAACTTGACCATGGATAATAAAAGAATGTGGACATTAAACTTTGGCCATAAGTATAAAATCTCTCAAGCAAGATATCAACCACTTTTCCATAATTCTGTCTTCAATGTTTTAGCACATCTACTCTTTAGTCAGTGGACTTGTCAATAATGTTCTTGTACTTATGCAGCTTATTAGTACCAGGTAAGATCAGTTTTCCTGGGATTTGGAGTTCTGAATTATTGCTTTTAGGGATCATCATTTGGTTTGTATAAACTTACTGACAAGGCATTTCCAAAATAACCCTTTGTCTGTGGTCCGAGAATTTCTCTGCCATTGTCTCAATATTCGCATTTCCTTATGGATATATTAGCTTTCCATCAACTTTTAGGACAACAGATTTTCCCTTGAGAAAGCTATTTAACAGTTTAGAATGTATTTATGTTGTCTTGTAATTTCTTAAACTAGTAGTTATAATGCAAAATTTTGACGTCTTAAATAGGTAAAAAACAATCAGCAATCCATTACGAGAACTATTCCATGACACCTAACTCTCTATTAAGAATCAGATTGTTGTCTCCATATTCACTATTGATATAAAGAATTCTCTAGTAAATTGATAACCCTATATAAATTTCAAGGAACCTGGCTTTTGTTGAAAAGTCTTCTTTTTCCTTCATTTAGCCAAAAAAATAAGGGCCTTTAAACGTATTAAATTGTTTTTCACTTCATTAATCAAGAAATGGTTGATTTGCCTCTGCCACCTTGCTTCTGTGGATCATACATATTTGGCCAAAAAGCTGTCTAATCATTTTCTGGATAATGCACATCTAATTAAGGCCTGATAATTTGAAATTCCTTGTTTTTTTCTATTTATTTTGGAGCAGTGGTCTGCAGCCAACACGTCATCCATTCCTCTCTCCAGTTTTCTCAGCCCACAGAACACATTACTTTCATTGAGCAAACAAAGAAAGAAAGAAATCTGAGGGTCGGGTGTAGCTGAAGAAATTAGTTATCTGAAATGGCTCAGACTGAGTTGAATTAGAGATAAGAGATAGAAGGGGGAAAGAGAGGTGATCAGAAAAGGAAAAAGGGGGAGAGAAGAGAGGGCAGAGAAGGGGGAAAAGACAGAGATCTATTGAGAGGGAAAATCTGAATTACAATCAAGCTCCTTCCCTAATAGACAGACGCCTTATTTATACAGATCATAACCTACAGCTCAAGAAACAATCTGCAATTGACTAACTAACTTTCCCGCCAAATAACTAACTTCCCAATTCTGTTGTAATAAATCTCAGAGCCACGTGATCCTCCCCCTGTGATCACATTTCTTCTGCTCATTCCCTTGCTGACTCATCTTGGTAGCTTGTGCATGAAGCTGGAACGGATACGGGCCATAACAATACCTCCCCCTAAAAATAATCCTAGTCTCTAGGATTGATGAATTGTGAAAGCAGGGAATTGGGCATGAATGAACGACAGGTCTTCCCAAGTGGCTTCCTCAGGTTCCATGTTTTCCCATTGTACCAACACTTGATCTATTCCCTGACCCTTCCTATAAATTGTTCTCCTGTCCAATACTGCTAAGGGCACTACCTCGAACTCACTATCTGCATTCAAGGTAGGCAAGGTAGTGCTGACTGGAGCCTCCTTAGGTGACTTCTTGAGCAGTGAGACGTGAAAGACAGGATGGATGTTAGACCCTGCAGGTAGCTGCAACTTATAGGCTACAGTTCCTACCTTCTGTTCCACTTGGTAGGGTCCATAGTACTTGGCAGTTAGTTTTAAATTCCTTCTCACGGCTACAGAAGTTTGTTTGTAAGGTTGGAGCTTCAGATAAGCCCACTCTCCTACTTCAAATTCCCTGTCACTCCTTCCTTTATCAGCCAACTGTTTCATTCTATTTTGAGCCTTTAGCAGGTTCTCCCTGAGCAAGGAATTCCACCCCAATCTCTCCTGTGCCCAATCTTCCACTGCAGCCACTAACGTGGTATCAGGCCTCAGATTCAGCTGCATATGTTTGTAACCATACAAGGCCTGAAAGGGAGTCATTTGCAGACTGCTATGATAGTTGGTGTTGTACCACCATTCAGCTGCAGGAAGCGATTTCCTCCACTTCCCTGGTTGATCCATGCACACGCTTCTCAGATAGCTCTCCACACATCTGTTAACCCTCTCAGTCTGTCCATCAGATTGAGGGTGGTAAGCAGAAGAAAAGTTGAGCTCTGTGCCCAGCATTTTAAAAAGTTCCTGCCAGAATAAGCTAGTGAAAGCCCTGTCCCTGTCAGAGACAATGTGGGTTGGTAAGCCATGCAACCTGAAAATTTGATCAAAGAATGCCTCTGCTACACTTTTAGCAGTGTAATGAGAGGTCATAGAAATGAAGTGAGCATATTTAGTAAACCTATCCACCACTACATAGATGACATTGCAGCCAAAAGACTTAGGTAACCCCTCTATGAAGTCCATAGAAATTTGTTGCCAAGCTTGCTCAGGTATAGCTAATGGCTGCAGCAGTCCTGGATAAGAGCAATTTTCACTCTTACTCCTCTTACAAATATCACACTCTTGTACATATTGTTCCACTTCCCTCTTCATTCCGGGCCAATACACAAAGCTCTTGATCCTCTGATAAGTACCATGATTTCCAGAGTGCCCCCCAATGCAAGAATCATGGAAACAGGAGATCAATTTTTGTCTTAACCCGGAGCCTGCCCCTATCCATATCCTACCTTTAAACCTCAAAATCCCCTGGTGATAAGAGTAGTCAGGCAGTGCATCAGCTCCCATGGCCAACTTCATCAGTACTTCTTTAGCTACTTCATCCCCAGTGTAGCTCTCAGCCACCATTGTCAACCATTGGGGTTTAATGGTAGTAAGAGAATGCACAAATGCTTCTGCTGGATCTCCCTGCTCACCTCTCCTTGACAATGCATCTGCAACCACGTTGTCTTTACCCCTTTTGTACTGAATCTCATAATCCATTCCCATCAGTTTAATCAACCATTTCTGCTGAAGGGAAGTGTTTATTTTCTGGTCCAGCAAGTATTTGAGGCTCTCATGGTCAGTCTTTATAATGAAATGGTTTCCCATCAAGTAATGTTTCCATTTTTGAACTGCAGTGATGAGTGATAGCAGCTCCTTCTCATAAGTGGATCTGGTCTGATTTTTCTGTCCCAACACTTGACTGTAGTAGGCTATAGGTCTCCCTTGTTGCATCAGAACTGCCCCAATGGCTAACTGACTAGCATCAATTTCCAACAGAAATGGCTTTGAAAAATCAGGTAAGGCTAACACTGGTGTCCTGCTCATGGCCAATTTCAGCTGCTGGAATGCAGATTCTGCAGCAGTACCCCATGCAAACTGATCCTTCTTCAGCAACTCAGTGAGAGGTTTGGCCATCTCCCCGTACCCCTTAACAAACCTCCTGTAGTAACCTGTCAAGCCCAAGAATCCTCTGAGGGCCTTCAAGCAGGTAGGGGTTGGCCAAGACAGCATGGCTTCTACCTTGGATGGATCAGTTTTCACCCCTTCACTAGGAATTATATGTCCCAGATACTCCACTTGATTCTGACCAAATGAACACTTTGACATCTTTGCATGTAGGAAGTGTTTTCTCAAGGTCTCTAGTACTAAGGATAAGTGGTGTAAGTGAGTTTTGTGGTCTGGACTATAGATCAGAATGTCATCAAAGAACACAAGGACAAATTTTCTGATGTAAGGCTCAAAAACTGAGTTCATTAGTGCCTGAAAGGTGGCGGGTGCATTGGTGAGTCCAAATGGCATTACAAGGAACTCATATAGTCCAGAGTGAGTCCTGAAAGCAGTTTTGGGGATGTCATCAGAGCTCATTCTGATTTGGTGATAGCCTGATCTAAGGTCAATTTTAGAAAAGACCCTGGCTCCATGTAACTCATCTAACAGGTCATCTATAATGGGAATTGGAAACTTATCTTTTATGGTAAGGTTGTTTAGCTGTCTATAATCAATACAGAGCCTCCAACTCCCATCTTTTTTTTTGACTAATAGAGCAGGGGATGCAAAGGGGCTGTGGCTAATCTGTATAAGGCCAGAAGCTAACATGTCTTTTACTTGCCTGTCAATTTTATGTTTTTGAAAATGGGGGTACCTGTATGGAGGAATTTTAAAAGGTTTGGCATCTGATTTAAGGGGAATTTGATGGTCATGGCATCTGTTAGGAGGGAGAGATTTAGGTTCTGCAAAGACGTCATCATATTTGGCCAACAATTCAGTGAGAGAATCTGGTACAGACATTACCTGTGAATTGTGAATCTGCACCATGCAAGACTGCTGTAGAGCCTTCCTGATCTTATGCTTGACATACTTGTGAGCTGATAAGCCTTGCTGCATCCTAACGTTGGCAGTGTTGGAGTCTCC